TCATGCTTGATACCCTGATTCTGCCCGGGATAGGGCTGTCCACTGAAAGCACTTTCTTTATTCCCCCTCCCCCCTCCCTCCCTGTTCTCAGCAGTTCACTCCCCCATCCCCCACAGAGCTTTCCCCTTGCTATATGGTCTGTAGTCTCTGACATCTCTGAATCCTGGAGCACATGGAGCCTGTGTAAAAATCCTCTTTGTGCATATTTAAGTATACGATGGCTTAAGTAATCGCTAAATGTATTCATTTATTCACTCACGTTCATTTGTATGCGGTTTGTTCCCACCCCTCTCGATGGGTAAATAATGTTCAGCATAAAGCATGGTGCTATTTTAATCATAGATTCCAGGTAGTAGATGTGAAATTTTTTTTAAATAAACAAAAACAAAGTGAGTGAATACATGAAGTGTAAAACTGAGAAGGCACTTTGTGGTCAGCACGTTCTACCAAGTTCAGGTGCATCAGCATGAACATGATCCAAGTCACGTATTCATAGATTTCTTTAACAAAGACTTTGTCACATGCCAACATTGTGCTAGACACTCCTGATTCAAAAATAAATACCACCTTCCCAACCTTCAAGGAAACGATGGGTTGAAAACAAATTAGCCAATAGTGATAATATGATCTGGCACAAATGAGTATTTAGAAAAGACAGAGTTTCTTGCAGGAATTTGTCCTCCAAGGACGAGTCGTTAGATACACTGAGAGGGAAGTAACAGTACAACAGAGAGCATAGCATCTTAAGCAAGGGATCAGGGAGAGAAACGGCGTGGAGTGTGTGTGTGGGGGGGCGGTCATGAAAAGTCCTATTAAACTGAAATTTTGTCTCAGGTGATGACAGAGATGGCCACATAGAGGAGCGTGGAAGAGTGCTAGGGACGGAATACAGAAAAGTCAGGATCAAAATGTATGTGTTTGAACACTAACCATTGCTGCCAAGTTGATGCCCTCTCATAGTGACCCAGTACCCGGTACGGACAGAGGGAAGCTGCCCCAGAGGGTGTTCAAGAACGTAAATCTGACACACCTTCCTCCCACAGAGTAGCTGGGTCCAGACGGTCAACCTTTCTGTGAGCAGCCCAGCACTTTGACCACAGCACCAGAGGGCCCCTTGTTTCACACTCCCTCCCTGTTATCAAGTCTGTTCCAACTCATAGCAACTCTGTAAGATAGAGCAGAGCTGCCCCTAAGGGTTTCTAGGACTGTAAACCTTTATGGGAGTAGAAGCCCTCATCTTTCTTCTGAGAAGTAGCTGGTGGTTTCAAACTGCTGACCTTGTGGTTAGCTGCCTTAACTCTTAACTTAACTCATAACCCACTATGCAACTAGGGCACCTTGTTTGAATATTGTTGTTGTTGGGTAACATCGATCAGGATTGAATGGGAGCAACCAATTATGGTCCATCACAGTAGACCAGGTAAGAGATGCTGAGGGTGTGGATTGAATGAGGGTAGCAAGAATTGGGCTGGAGCCAAGGAGATAAACTCACATACTACTTCTGAAACAAAATGTTCACAGGACACCGTGGAGCAGCTGTGGCAATCAAGGTGAGGGCTGGGAAGAGTCAGAGATGATCACCTCTGACCTGGGAAAGTGGGTGAGTGGGATCACTCCTGCAGCAGAGATGGGGAGAAGGTCAGGTTTGGGGAGAAGATGATGAGGTTGGTTTGAATGATGTGGACTTTGAAGTGTCTCCAACATTCTACTCAAAAGACCCAGTCCCTTCAACCGATCAGAGAGTGACTTATTCTCAGAACTTTAAAGGGCCTTCTGAAACAGAATTTACTACTACCATGTTTCTCCAAAAGTAAGACATCCCCCGAAAATAAGACCTACTTACAGTTTTGCCTCTCATTGAAGTATAAGGCATTCCCCCGAAAATAAGACCTTCCTGATAATAAGGCCCCCTGAAGCTACCGTAACTCTGGACTCTGGACCGTAGCAGCAAGCACCACCGCACAGCTCACTGTTGGCTGCAGCACAGCCGGAGCAGACAGGAAGTACGAGTAAATGTACCAAAAAGTATGAGTAAATGTACCATAGTTTTGTACATGGAAATAATGGTAGTAACAAGAAATTCTTGATACTGTAGGATTCATAGTTTGGTTCTGCTGGTTTGTGATGACAACTACCACCGTAGCGTATACAGGCAATATATTTCTTTTTTTGTTGTTCAACAATAAATGTGTACCGTATTCTTCTTCATGGAAAATTAAGACATCCCCTGAAAATAAGACCTAGCGCATCTTTAGGAGCGAAAATTAATATAAGACACTGTCTTATTTTCGGGGAAACAGGGTACATAAGCAAGTTATATGTTTCATTGGCATAACTCTGCCTTGGAATGCACTCTAGATTTCAGCAAAAGAAATCAAGTTACATAACACCTGTTAAAGAGGAAAGCCACTTCCTTGTCCATTGGACGTGGGCATGATGAATTGTGGGCACGTTCAAACTGAAAGCCTCTCAGTGAGGGCATCACCGGCGTGGTAGAGGACAACACACCTCGAGCGCAGGAAGTGTTCTGAAAGAGCAGTCACAGAAGTGCCCACAGCATGGTGGGAGTTAATGCAGCGCCTCCCAGACTTGTGACACCCAGTCACTGCGCGTGGCTGGATTTCTTTGTTCAGATTAAGAAGTCTGCTTTATGCCCTCATTTGAGAGACTCTTCTAACACAAGGATATCTTTCTTCTCACTGAAGACAGGCCAAAATAAGTATAACTTTTTTGCATTATCTCTGTTTCGAGAAAATCTGAACCCTACTGTTTTGCGCCTTTTCCTTTAAGACTTATCCTCTAGAGACCTTTGGCCCAAGTCTGTTCACATAACACTGAGGAAGAACATGGGGTGAAAATATGAACAGTCAAATCTCTGTAGACCGAGTATCCAAATGGACCGTGCCAAAATAGCCGGTTGCCATAGACTCAGAAGTACATCCACTAGAGGCCAAATTCCCCAGGCAGCATGGCGCCCCTTGACACAGTGCTTGAGACTGGAGGAGAAGTACCATCCACATTGCTAGGACTCCTTGTCCACCAATACCGCAGAGAGACCCAAAGGCAGTAGGGACTGGTAACTGCACCTGAAATGAAGCATGAAAGGTTTAGGCAACAGAATAAATGCCCACCGGCTGGACCTGGGCCTCCACCCTGGGGCCTGGCCGTCAAACTAACCCCAGCCTAGCCATCTTAGAAACCCGCCAAGCAGATGGGGTCTCCAGCCAGCCTCTGACCTGTGTGTGATTACAATCTGACACATACAGCGTTGACTCCCTTTTTTCCAATAATAAACGCTGTAGAATGATCTGGGAGCTACTCCTATGACATGACTATCACTGGCATGGGCAGCAGAATGGGTGCTTTCTGAGCCAAGGCCATTCCTGTTGCTTAGTTTCTGTCATCACCCCTGACACACTACTGTTACTCCCAGCTGTTAGCATGCGCACGGAGACCAAGAGAAAGAGCTTGCAGCTGTGTGCTTCCCTCCTCCCCACGCATTCCAGCCCTGCATTCACTTCAGGCTGGGTCTGGCTAGATTGGGAAGTCCCCCAGGAAGCCAGCAGGAGGCACGGATCCCCAGATCCCCACATAAGACAGTAAGGAACGCTGAGCTGTTATCAGCAGCAACTCCACAGCAGCATTGCAACTCTTTTTAGGCCTTTGGTACAATACCGTGAAAGATCTGCTGTTACTTAGCAATAGGAAGAACTTTATGCCAAGCCAGGCCACCATCACTTGGATGATGAATGTCTTAATTATTAAATTCCTATGCGTGATTACCAAACATCATTCCTGAGCCCAGGAGCGGGTATATGGACTAGACTCTGCCAACTAAACCTCCACCCCTGCAGGCACCCGGTCCAGCTGCCTTCCCAGGGAAGTGCTCTGGGAGCTGCTGGCTCCTTGAGTCCACTCTACCATAGCTTAGGTAGAGCCAGGTAAGGGGACTTCAGAAGCCCTTCCGGATGGCAGAGTGATCAGAAGCATGGACTTTGCTTCAACTCTGATGGTCTGTAGGACCCTCCACGCATACCTCAGCCTCTGTGTTTCTATCGTCGCATGTATAAAGTGGAAATGAAATTTCGTTTGTCTTGCGGGACCTTTGGAAGGTTAACTAATATATCACAAAATACTTAGTACTGTGGCTGGAATTGAGTAAATGCTCAAAAGTCTTACTAAAGAAGTAATGTAATAAGAATGGTTGGCAGGGAAGAGAGACACGGGCTAAGGGTGGGGCATGTTTCCTCCTGTACAGAGTTGGGGGCAGCAGGAGGCTAGGCAGGTGCTAGAGCGGCAAGCATGTCAAACTAAACCCGGGGGCTTCCAGGCTGGATGTGAAGCAGATGGAGAAACAGCATATTGGAAACAGTACAACTCCCCTATTGAGGTGGTCTCTGGGAGGTGACCATTATCTCCTTATGTTAGAATTCCTGTGCAGATGTTTTCGATATGTCAGATTGCCAGCCGACTAGAACTAAGTCACCATCTTGTGTAGAAGTGCTACTGTTTTCTAAGAACTCAGTGTAACTTTTACCTTTACCTGCTTCCGCCCTCCTTGTTCTCTCGTGTTTCCTTCCAAGTACATCAGATTTCAACTACTTTTCTCACCAACCCACAGGGGCATGCTTGCAGTGGACTGCCTCTAACGTGTTGATGGCAATCGCACCCTCCCATCTCTCCTAGATGATGCCTCTGTGTGGGGTGGGTCTCACAGCTGTCCCTGCGAGCTACCTGCTTCTGAGTGATCTGGCCATGGTTTTATTTAACTTGCTTTGGAATTGCTTTTCGTGTGTGTGTGTGTGTGTGTGTGTGTGTGTGTGTTTTATCTTGTTTCTGTCCATCCTGAAACTACACAACATAGAACGTTGTGACGCGCATTCCCCGCCGAACTCCCCCTTTGAGCCGAGCGGATCGTGGCAGTTAAGTGGTGGGCATCTCTCCAGCTTTTGAAAAATTCATTCAGCATCTTTTCTTGTGCATCTCTTCTGCTTTGCCAGGTCAAGCTGGGAACTGCCTGACTTGAGGGAAGGGAGAGTCAAAGCCATCAGTGACTCGGATGGGGTGAGCTACCCATGGTACGGAAACACCACAGAAACTGTGACCCTGGTTGGCCCCACCAACAAGATCTCCAGGTTCTCCGTCAGCATGAATGACAACTTCTACCCCAGTGTGACGTGGGCAGTGCCAGTGAGTGACAGCAATGTGCCACTGCTCACGAGGATCAAGAGGGACCAAAGTTTCACGACGTGGCTGGTGGCCATGAACACCACCACGAAGGAGAAGATCATCCTGCAGACCATCAAATGGAGGATGAGGGTGGACATTGAGGTAGACCCTCTTCAGCTCCTGGGACAGCGGGCCCGGCTGGTGGGCAGGACTCAGCAGGAGCAGCCCCGGATCCTGAGCCGGATGGAACCCATACCCCCCAATGCACTAGTGAAGCCCAATGCCAACGATGCCCAGGTCCTCATGTGGAGGCCCAAGCGAGGGCCGCCCCTCGTCGTGATCCCACCCAAGTAGAAGCAGACTGTCCTGTGTGTGGACCACACTCTGCTGAGACACGCAGGGAGCAAGCTGCCCGGGGTGGCAGAAGCCAAACTGAGTTTCTGAGCCAAAGCAGACCTCTTGGTTTGTCAGCCTTTGCAGCCGCCCGTGATGAGTAGGGCAGCTTCTTGGGTGGTAGAACCACAATCCTTAGGAAACCCCCCTTCCTCTTAGGAGTAAAAGAAATCACCGAGTGGACAGACTTGCTGAAATTCCCACGCAAGTAGCCATATTTGGGAGCTGACCAGGATGATTCTTTTATCTGAACTATTGACCATTTCTTTCCTGTGAGACGCAGGGGATGGAAATGAAATTAAACAGTGCCTGTGGCAAATGCTGCTTCCCAACCAGTTCGAAGTGGGAGTGAAACATCCACACCAGGTGTTCACAAGACAGCCTCCCTGTCGGACTGGAGGGTGCTGGGAGGAAGGGCTGAATGCAGATTGGGTGGGGAAAGAAATAATGGGTGGTAAGGAAAGAAGACACTGTTACCGATTAATGCCTGTGCATTTCTCAGTTGACATCAGATCGTCCATTCGTTCCTTAGGCTGAGAGAAACAACGCTCAGAAAACTGCAGAGACCTTTGCATTTGCTCTGTTCTGAGGCAGCCTCCTGGGCGCTGTCCAAGGTGCTGATGTGAACCAAACCGTGGGAACCCAAGGGTTCCTTCTACCCAGTCCTTTCAAAGTATTTTCCATCACCGTATGGGTGCATTGTTGCCGCATTCTGACGTGGCTGTGCTATTTGGGGGCCCACATCATTCTTTCAGTGAAACCCAAATGGTGATTTTGTTTACATATGCTTATTCTAGTCCCATCACCAGCCCTAAATTTTAAAAAAGATCATCGTTTATAAGCCATGAGTCCGTGTACGGGTTTCAAGAACATTCCAACAAATATGAATAGCATCTTCATTCTTTTTGGTTGTTGTTAGCTTTGGAATGATTTGAACACCTAGAACACAATCACATGTGCACACACACATATGTGCCAGGATGCGTAGAGCATAGTTACTAGCAGATCTGCCAACGGTGCCTGCTTATGTCATGTAGCCTTTGTGCATACACGGCACACATTGCGGATACATATATGTTTATTTTGGCTCCGTTTCACAGAAGCTCAACTCGAACTGTTTGAGCATTTGTGAAAAACTGCTTCACACGGTTTTATTTCAGGGCGCTTTGATGAAAATCTGAGCTTTTCACACTAAGCAAACCTGTATTGCTGAGATCCAACCAAATAAAGATGGGAGATCGTGTTTTCTTTAGTCAAAAGCTTTTTGAAAACTTTTTAAAGTGTTTTCCTGTCTTTACAATATGGACCACCACCACCACCCTTTGTTCTAGCTTAAATCTCCCCCAAGAAAGGAGCTTTCTTTTTATTCTCAATTGTGCAAGGATTCCCTTTCCAAAAACTCCCCATTCACTGTTATCGTAAAAACTCTCGCAATGGCATATGGATTGTATTAGTAGACCCTGCCAGCCTAATTTCAGAGATGAGAGAGTGGGGGCTCACAGCCATTCCTACAGCCCATGGTTTGCTGCAAGAAAAAAAAAATCTTGTTTCCCACCAGAGTTTGGAAGTGAAGGAATATCAAGGCTTGTTTGTTGTTTTTATTTAAAATGCAATCGTGTCTAATTTCTTTCAGGTTATAGACCCAAATGAGGCTTAACAGGCCCACTCTCAACTATGTGATATTAACCCCACCCCCAGATCAGTTATTGATGGCAAGCTGTGCTCTTTATAACAACACGTCGTTAGTGACATGTCAGTGACAGACATTCCACTTAGAAATAATCTGGCACTCCATTTGGATTCTTCCATCCCGTCCCAAGCTTTAATGGGAGAGGTAGCCCTGCCCGAGGCCGCCATGGCTGAAGTACCAAATGGCCTATTTCTCACATTCACATTGGAAACGGCATAAGTTACATGCCACCCTTATGGAGTTCTAGAAAGGGAATTCTGGCCCTGCAGTCTCATTCACAAAGGACAGCGTTTCTCTTTCCTCAGGAAGGTCAGGGGTGGTATGAGGAATCTTTAAATCCTAATCTGTGTGTATCCCACATTTTATGCACACACACAAATATACACAAATATTTTTAATCCAAACATGCCTTAAATCAATATACTAATGAGGATTACTTACATTACAAAATCCTACATTAGATTTCTGTCTTTTCATCTCCCTTATATATTAAAATAAGATGTGACTTATATATAACCAAACTTGTTCAAGGGCATCTCTGTACAGGTGGGGTCACACACGTCTGACTTATTCACAACCCATAGTTAGGAGCCAACCTGCATAAAGCCTGTTCTGCTGAAGAGTCAAGGTGCATACAAAGGTGCATAATTTAGTTGGATTTCCATTTCCTCTGGGTTCATAGACTGAGAGATCTCAAAGCTGACTTGATTTAAGAAGCTAAAACCTTCTGAAATGTGCTTTTCCAGCTGGGCGTTCACAACGATTTTGCAACGTGCATCAAAACATTATTTTTATTCTTATTACTACCTGTTATTGTGCGAAAAGTCTTTTAGTGTCATGTTAACCTCACACCCAATGTATCTAGAAGTGTTTCTTTAATGTTTTTATGCACTGAAGCAACCTAAAATATCTCCACTGCCATTGAGGTGACTGTGATTCCTGTAGATGGCACATAACAGATGCTTGCCTAACTGATGTTAGATACTGACTGACAGACAAATTCAACTAAGATAGAGACCAGGGAAAGAGCTCATTCATAACCCCGGGCCTGGCTGTATTTATAAAGTCAGCTGCACTATACACAACTAGCATTCCTCCCCCACCCCCTGAAAACTCACATTCTTCAACATTTTCAAAGAAATGACCCAAGTCAGTTCTGGAAAATTATGCAATGACAAAGTGAGAAATGTAGTTGGGACTGTGGTCATAAAAGTTCAAGCACTGTGCAAATGTGTAGTCTGATGATTGTCAACGATACGACTGGGAACTCTACATTGGGTCTCTCAATTCTGAAATCCACCTGGCAGAACTCTCTCGCCCTTCAAACAAATACTTTAAAGTTAGGGCTGCTTCACAGGGAAGCAAGTCTCTTCTCTTTCTCTGATCTCTGCATCATTACCCTTCAGCTTAGTCAGGATATTGCCACAGGAGAGGCAGTCAGACATGAGAGAATTCACTATGAGACCTCTATTGGGGTCACCTCTGTGCTCCAATCAGCCCTGCCTTCCCCCTGAGAGTACCTGAGTCTGACACCAGATACCATAACTTTCAATGGCCACATTCTGGGCCTTGATTAGGTTTTAGTTGGCTGGTCTAAAGATTATATTTTGATTTTAAACACATCTACACGTGTGGCTTCTTGGTGACACAAGAGTTTTGAATTCCTAGCTGGAAAAGAGCATTGCAGAAGGTCTTCGCTTCTTAAATAGGGTCACCTTTGCGGTCTCTCAGTCTAGGATCTCTGAGGAAACTGAGGTCCAGCTAAATGAGGTCATCCGTTGACAGTCACATACCTAATCAGCAGCAAAGTGAGAGAAGACGCCAGTCTCCCAAATCCCATCACTGCACAGTCTCCCTTCCCAGGAAGCCAAAGCCCTTTCTTTGTCTTCAGACAGAAAGATTGCTGTCATCCTCCTATACCATTGACCAAAAATCAATTATCCTAAAATCCAGCGACAGACAAATCCATTCTTTAATAGGGGGGGAATCGTTACTACTAAGTCAAACAGCAAATGTTCCAGATTCCCTTTTATCTGAGACCACTGATTTGAACTCTTCGTCTGGGACTATGCTGTACACGTTGTATGTTGATTCGACCCCCAGTTGGGGGAATGTTGGAGACGAGTCTCCAATCATTCCACGGACCTTCGATCAGCTCTGTCTATCCTGGTGCTCCAGATGGATCTCGTAGGTCAAAACCATGTTCTAATCTGCAATTCTGAGCAGTGAAATAAAGCAACTCTGATTTGTACTTGTCACAGGGCTTCCACATGCAGTCTTAAGTGGAGTGTGATGCTGTTTTGACTGTCGTTGTGTACCATCCAGTCAATATCCTGACTCTCAGTCACCGAGAGGACAGAATGGAACTGCCCTATACAGGGTTTCCCCAAGCTGTAATCTTTATGGAAGCAGATTGCTACAGCGCTCTCCTACGGAGCAGCTGGTGGATTTGAACTGCCAGCCTTTTGTTTAAGAGCCAGGTACTTAATCACGATGTCACCAGGGCTCCTATTACTGTTAATAGAACAACAACCAGTAATATTGAGTCAAATTCCACTCATAGCAACCCTGTAGAACAGAGTAGAATTGGCCACGCAGCTCCAAGGGCTGCAAAACTCTTAAAAAACAGCCTGCCACATCTTGAGTCCAACCAGAGTGGCCAGCAGGTTTGAACTGCCAACCTCTCAGGTAACAGCCAAGCACATACTCTACTACTCAGGGATGCTCCCTCGCTAGAGGCCACAAAAGAGAAGGGAGGAGAGGAGAATGCAAGTCACTTTCACCTACAAAGTCATGTAGTCCCTACCAGTCTACTAAAAGGATGGATTAAAAAATAAGAGAATGAGTACAGGTTCCCTATGCAGAAAACCTTGTAATCCTCAGAGAAGTTGGCCCAGAAATAATAATAATAGTAATGCTTTTCTGGGCTGCAGTGTGTGTGAGCTGGCCGCCGCTCTGTTGCTGTGAGCACAGTCCTGGTAATTAGTGGAGGGGGGCTCTGCTCCCCTGGTCTCCGAAGCCCTGAAGCCCCATGAGCACAACAGGAGGGGAGAGCTCACGTCCTGCCTGCTGCTGAGGTCCCAGCTGAGCCAGGTCCTGCCACTTGCCACCCCCCACCCCCTCCGGGCAGGCAGGACAGCCCCAGCGGGGAACGGGGTGGGGGGAGAGGGTGGCAGGGGAAACAATGACTTTCCGAGCTCCAGTTGGCACATTGAACATTCTTGTTAGAACTGGGGGCACAATTAAACATGACCAGAGCCAGCTCTCAACTGAGTTGCCAAGAAAGATGTAAATACACACACACACACACACACACACACACACACACACCTGCACAGACCCACTATACTCACACACTCTTGGAGCAGAAAAGAAAGTTAGTCAAAAGCCCAATGAATGCCTGAACTCTATAATTAAGCCTAAATGATCTGTAGACAGAAAGGGAGCTGAGTGAGCAAGCTGGGTGCACGCAGATATTTTTACCCGGGAGTCTTATTGCCACTAATTCCTTTTGAAATCTTGAGCGCATCTGGTTCCAGTTCCCCTGGTGGGACAGCTGCAGAAGGAAGGCCTTCATGGCTTGGTGGCCAAAGGACAGGCAAGGTTCTTTGACCACCCCCAACACTTGTGTGGGCACGCAGTTGGGAAACATTGTGCCCTGGGTGGGTGGGCTCCGCTGGAGAGCTTCCCCGGACAGCTCCTGTGTGGGTCGGTGTCAGCCCCTAGAGGAGGGGCTTCAAAAAGTTCATGGAAATATCCCATTGTCTTCTCATTCCGCTTTCTCACGAACTTTCAAAGCCCCCTGGAAACACCCAGCCAACAGCAGAGTCTGGAGGATCCAGTGGGAAACTGTCTGAAGGGCCATCTCCTCACCTGAACCGCAGGGCCTGAGGCTGCTCGCAGACCCGCAGGCCACATTGACTT